TTTTCCTGTATATAAAACTGTATAAAAGATATTTTGTTATTTTTCAATTTGATATAACATTTCAATGCTCTCGGACATTGACAAACTTCTTGTTTATTTTATTTTATACTTTAACGATAAAATATTAATACATAAAACATTAACATTAGTTTCTTCAATATTTTGGTTTCTTTCTTCAACGATTTTATGCCACTTTGCGATAAATCTTTGCTAATAAATTCAAGAATAAACTATGTGGAAGCCCGCATGATATCTGCTGTATATGTACATTCAGTAGATTATATGTTTCTTCTTTGTACACAGAATAAATTTTAATTGGTATGCCCAGATCAGTGTAGAGCGATTTCACGCGTCTTACTTTCTCCGGATCCGAAACTCCATAACACTCCTGCACCGTAAAAAATAAGAAACAATTAATTAACGAACATTTGCTGAAATAATCAACAGCTTGTAGAATCAACAATACCCACTTCCAAAATTTTACGCTGCTCTGGGGTTGCACGTTGGAGAGCTACAACAGCCAGCCACGTACACTTTCCCTCCTGTATATCAGTATAATCGTTGTGATAGACGTCGGGATCTCCAAAGCAACCCAAATAATCGTCTTAGACTTGAAACAAACGCCCCATCTCTAACAAGATGGTTTTTGCTTGCCTGAACATCTCTGGATCCTTTATTCCGGCCTACATCAAATAATATATCATAAATGTATCATTATCATCGAAGCTTATCAGTTTTTTCGTACATAAGAAAATGTGGTGCCACTTACTAAATGCATCGCTGCGGTTACTGGCAAAAGAAACGAATAATACGACGATTTGTACTCGATAATGGCATTATATATTGATTCATCGTAAACAGATCCAGATTGGGCTTCTTGCCGTAATTAGTGAGCAACTCTAAGCATTCCCCTATCACAGTCTCCATTGTGATCTGTCGAAATACTTTCATACATAATTGTTCGATTAAAAAAGAAATGGAGAGAAGCTTACAGCGTTTACATAATGTTTAATCAGAAGAAAGATATTTTCACTCACATCATGGAACATTTCTAATAAATTAACGTAGCATTCTTTTCCTTTAAAGTACTTTCGAATTAGATAAAACATTGCGCACTGTAATATTAAACTGTCGTTGATTGCTGCTAAACCTAGATCGTTGCATCGATACCAACATGGTTGGCCTCGGCAAAGTGACGATTGGTCCAGTATATCGTCGATCATGAGCAAATAAGCTTACAACTGTAACAAAATTCATTATTTTTATTTATTTTTTAATTAAAATAACTTATTATGTTGTTTTTAATTTAAAGATAATATAAATTAAAACGTTACATTGTGTGTTTGATCAATTCGAATTAGTCTATGCAAAATATCTGTGTCACGAAGAAAAGAAAAATGGAATTTACGTACCAGTTCCACACACCATGCTAAGATCCGTGCTAGACATACGTTTTCTTCTGTAAGTTGATCACTTTGTGCTAGCAGCTTGTAGGCATAAATTAACATAAAAGCGCGTAGTTTTTTCCTCCTGGAACATTGTATTGTTGTACCTGTGTAAGAGATATTAGGTAAGAAGGATGCATTAATCTGCATATTTGTTTAAATTTATAATTTACTGTCTCATATTTCATTTTATCATAAGTTGTTTATATGTTAGTGTAGAGGTAATTAGACCGTCGAAGGATTCAATGTAATAAAGCAAACAGGAAGATTTGTCTTGCGTGATAACTCGGCACGTCTGTGTGTGACCTCGTGCTCTAGCTCGACTGCCCTCTCACGACCGCTACTCTAACCCCCCGACCAATCAGCGATCGCCTTGAGGACGCGCTCACACAACATCCTTTTCCTTTTATTGAAAAGTCTCACATTTTCTTTTTCTTTACATAGCTCGGCTGACATACAAAATCTTTGAAACGGGAATTCGGTTTAGCGTCTCGTTTTGGTCTCTGAGATTGAGACTGTTCCTTCGCGGGATTTACGCTACTTGCTTCGCCCTTATCGCTTACGTCTTGCGTACTACCGTTTGCTGCTTTATTTACTGGCCCCGTTTCCGCATGTTTATAACTTATCTCCTTATTGTCTTCTTCTAGATACACTGGATTATCGCTACTTACATCTACCTCTATGTTATCTTTATACGGCGCATATATTAAATGCCAACGGTTTCGGCGAATTACACCACCACCTTCTGTTCTAACTAAATATGAATTTGGACCTTCACCTAAACTTACCACCTCCGCATAGACTCTCTTGTCAATGACCCATACTTTATCTCCTACTATTAGTTCTGATAACTTTTTCGCTCTGTGTCTCTTGTTATAATTACTCTCCTGTTTATCCTTTCTTTCTTTTTCTAACTTAGATATGTCTTCATGTTTTACAAATGTTCCTAATTTTGACGGAATCATAGGTACTAGGGATCGAATTTTCCTAGAAAACATTAGTTCAGCAGGAGAATAACCATTATCCAGAGGTGTTGATCTATACGACAACAGACCTTTATTAACGTCTTCGCATTTCTTTAGGATCATTTTCGCGATCTTTACCGCTGATTCTACTTCACCATTACTTTGCGAGTATTTGGGTGAACTTGTTACATGTTTAAAATCCATTTCTTTGGCAAATTTATCAAATTCTGTGGAGAATTGTGTACCCGGATCTGTTCTCACTATCTCTGGTATTTCAAATCTCGCAAAGACTTTCTTACATTTTTTTATAACTGCCTTTTCAGTTAACGCTTTTAAAGTTAAAATATCAAAATATCTTGAATAATAATCTGTTATTATCAAATACCATCTGCTTTGGAATTTGAATAAATCTATGGCAATTTTCTGCCATGGTCTTTCTGGAAAACTTTCTTTTGTGAAAGGTTCTTTGATATTTCTTCTATTCTCGATACAGTTTGGACAGTTTTCTACTAACGTTTTCAACTGACTACTAATGCCCGGCCACCAAACTGATTGTTTAGCCATTTCACGACACCTGTTAATACCCAAATGCCCTGCATGCAATTTGGATAACATTTCTAATTGTAAATTGGACGGTATGATTAGCCTCGAATTATACAAAAGTAGATTACTACAAAATGAGATGTTCTCCTTGAGATTAAAATATGGTAACAAACCATCTTCTAATTTATTTTTGTCTGGCCATTTCCCCAGACTATAATCTTTTAATCTTGAGCAGACGTAGTCTTTTCCTTGTTCATCTCTTATTCTATCTATCATACTCTTAGTCGCCGGGAAACTATCTACTACGAAATTGACATAACTCTCTATTTCTTGTGGCAACCCATCTTTATAATTTACATTTTCTCGTTTAACCGGACTTCTTGAAAGACAGTCCGCTAATACTAATTGTTTACCTGGTACGTAAACTATCTCATAGTTATAACGCATTAGTCTCAATCTGATCCTTTGCAACCGCGGTGTTAAGTCATCAAGCGGTTTGCTTTGCAGTATCTGTAGCAACGGTTTATGATCTGTTTCGAGAGTTATATCAATTCCGGTTATATAATCCTTGAAATGCTCCGTAGCATACGCAAGAGCTAATGCTTCTTTTTCTATCTGGCTGTATTTCTTTTCCGTTTCTGTAAGCGTAGTGGACGCATATGCTACTATTTCGCGGCTTTCATCTTCGCTTACTTGCATTAATGCCGCCCCTAAACCGTAACTCGATGCATCCGCCTGTATCACTACCTTTTTAGTGTAGTCATAATGCGACAATATGGGAGCTGTTTTTAACAGTCTTTTTAATTCATTAAAAGCCCTTTCCTGTGGTTCTAACCATACAAAATGTACATTATCTTTTAACAATGAATTCAATGGTTCTAATATGTGCGACTTGTTCGGTACAAACTTACTAACGTAATTTACCGCGCCTAAGAATTGCATAAGTGTTTTCTTATCCTTAGGAGGATCAAAATCTGTTATAGCTTTTAGCCTTTTTTGCAAGATACTTATGCCCTTTTCTGAAATTTCGTGTCCTAGAAACTCTACTTTATTTGTTCCGAAAACACATTTATCTTTGTTTAGAGTTATACCTGCCTTTTGCAGCCTGTCTAAAACTATCCGGAGTATTCTATCATGCTCCTCCACTGTCGCACTATGGACTATTACATCATCTGTATGTATGTCCACTCCTGGCACATCTCGTAGGATCTCGGTGTACCACTGCGTAAAATAATCTGGCGAACAATTGATACCAAACGGTAGTCTAGTGAACATGTACCTACCATACGGTGTAATGATGGTTGTCAACGGTTGACTTTCCCTTCTTAACTTTATCTGATAAAAACCCGTTCTTACATCTAATTTAGAAAATATCTTTGACTTTTTTAAGTTTGATAAAGTTACATTTACTTTCGGAATCGGAAAGTGCGCCCTTTTTACACTTTTATTTAATTGAGTGAAGTCGCCACAAATTCTTATTTGTTCCGTACCTTTTTTAGGAATTACCACTATTGGACTGCACCACTCTGTAGGAAAATCTACAGGTACTATAATTCCCTCACTGACTAACTTATCTAGTTCTAACTTGAGTTTTTTTAATAACGGTATTGGTACTGTACGTGGAGTCGTCAGAAAAAATGGTTTGAATTCATCTTTTAAGTGAATTTTTAACTCTTTTTTAAAGGATCCCAATCCGCTAAACACTTTAGAAAATTCAATGAACGGTTGTACTTGAGACATGCTTTCCGATTGCAGAGTATTTATTTTGCCTATTAATTTAAACTTATTTATTTCCGGCTTCCCTAACAAGTTCTGTTTCAACCCGTTTAATACATACACTTTTGATTTTGACATTGTTTTCCCTTTTATTATGTTTATGTATAAGTAACCGGCGACCGAAAGTCTTTTCCCGTCAGGCCCTACAATAATCCTATCTGTCTCGCTAATTTTCTCTTTTAATTCTCTAGGAATTGAATTAACTGCAACGCATGTGACATCCGCACCAGTATCTATAACAAAATCTATTTGTCGCGACAATTCTTTCACATACGCCCGGAATAAAAAGTCTTTATCAGCTTGTGCGCTCCCGCGCACGGCTCCTAGAAATATTGTCGATGAATTGTCATCTTCCTCGTCTTCTTGTTCTTCGACTCTGCGCACTTTCTTTGATTTGCACATCTTGTCCCAATGACCGACCTTTTGGCACTTGTGACACGTTGACTTGAACGCTGGACATTTCTTGAAATCCGTGTGTTTCGCTTTACCGCATCTACCACAGTTCTCGTTGCCCCTCTGTGTCTCGTTCCTGCTTCCGCGCTGCTCTCGGTCCTTCCTCCTTTCTTCTTTGTTTTTTTGTGAGCGAAAAACTCTATTCAACTCGCTCTGTTCTGACGCCACTTCTTTTCTAATCATTTTTCCTTCTTTGGCTTGAGTTTCGGCCTGACGAGCCATGTTTAAGGCTTTTTCCAGAGTCAAATCTGCTGTTAATTGTAGCCGTTCTGACGTACGCGTATCTCGTATACCAATAACTATTCGGTCACGTATTAATTCTTCTTTTATCGTGCCATACTCACAAGTCTCCGCCAGCGAGTACAACGCCGTAACAAACGAGTCTACACTTTCACCCGCCTGCTGCTTTCTGGAATTGAACTTATATCGTTCGAAGACCGTGTTCTTCTTTGGCGCAAAATACCCCGTAAATTTATCTGTGACCACTTTTAATGTCGTCACCCTGCTTCCTGCCGTTATCTGAGTCAAAATATCTTCGGCTTTCTCACCCATTGTGTACAACAGCAAGTCGATCTTCTCACTCTCTTCTCTCTCCTTGAGATTTGCGACCGACATATAGCGTTCAAAACGCTTTAACCATACTGCCCATGTCTCAGGTTTTTCGAAGTTAAACTCTGAAAGCGTTTGTACACTTGGTAATATTTCCTTTGTAGTAGTCGCCATTTTTTTTTTCTTTGGACGCTTCTCAGCACTCAATCAGGATTATAAGCCGATAATTCCTTCACCGCTTGGTTCCTCGTAAAGCTTGTACGAGTTTCAAGACCACTTCTGACACCATGTAGAGGTAATTAGACCGTCGAAGGATTCAATGTAATAAAGCAAACAGGAAGACTTGTCTTGCGTGATAACTCGGCACGTCTGTGTGTGACCTCGTGCTCTAGCTCGACTGCCCTCTCACGACCGCTACTCTAACCCCCCGACCAATCAGCGATCGCCTTGAGGACGCGCTCACACAACATATGTATATAGCAATAATTGTATAG